AATTCCCTCCCAGCTGTTCTTAAGTAACAGCAGCCGATCAATTAAGAGGAGACAAAGTAAAGGCAATTCAAGCTAACTATGAAGCCCCTCCTGTTTTCCAGCAGCAGACTAGCCCTGGGGGCAGTAGGCCTCCCTCTGGAGCGCAGCTGCCTAGCTGGGGAGCGCTGCAGCAGTCTGGACAGACAGATGCTGTTACAGCCCAGCCTTTGATAAGGAACTGAGACTCTTTAAGAGTAACTACGGAGGGGAAGCAGGATGGCACGTGTCAGACAATGTACTTCTCTTGCTTCCAAAGTAAACGCCATGCTCTGCTGCCCTGGAAAAATCTGTGCTTTAACTGCCAAAGTCTCTTTTACACAAGCACTAAAATTACGAGGTTAGATTCTCTTGGTGTAAATATCAAGGAGCTAAGCAGATTTTCATCTGAAAATCTAGTGCTAAACAGCTCTCTGCTAGCTCCATCTCCTCAAGGCACCCTGTTTAGCTTTAAGACAAGGAGCAGAAGAAGGAGTTCCTAAAGATGTATGGAGCATTTGCCAAATGGTCCCCGGTGATTGCCCGCTTCCGACTGCCTAGCCTCTGCACACAGAAGCAGGCCCTCAGTGGCTGCCTGTGGGCACCAGAAAAAGATCAAAGCTCTGCTTCAGAAAGTAGCAAGTCCTAGGGAAAACTGCAACTCCAGTTAGAAGGAAGATATTTTTCTGGAAATACTCTGAAAACAATATTTATCTTCCACATTCACATATGGTGGTTTAGTTGAATCACTTGGGGAGAGACCGAAGAACACTGCTGAGTCTTTTGTGTAATTTATTTTTTAATATTGAACCTGAATGAAGTCTTCCATTAGAACAATTCAGAAACAGGGTGGATTAATCCCATGACCTCTTTTCCTTACATATTACAAAATTCTCATAAAGTATAGAGGTTATATAAGATCCCATGGGAAATCTGGTAAAGGTGTCAGACAGACAATGGTTATACAAGTAATGACTTCAGCTTACAACTACCCGAGTAAGGCAAATGGGATTTACGTGTGATGCTGGTTTCCGCACAGGAATAATTTTGCTTTACAAACACCACTCTATACAGCACATAAATCCAGATGCAATAGGCTATTTCAGAACAACTTTAATTATTCATGTACTAGAATGAAAGGAAAGCCAGTGTAAACTCGAGATAAGTAATCAGTAACTTTGTTTAAGTTATCATAACAAAAATATTAGTTATCAGCAAAGTTATGCCCTGTATAGCTGAATTCCAGCGAGAAGTTCTAGGACAAATCTTACTAATTTCTAATGTAGATATAAAGACCCTGAATGCTCACCTTTATTCCAGATGGCTGAGTTCTGTGTTGTATGAAAGAGAAAAATAGTCATTTATGGGTAGTTATATCAGAGTTGCTAGGCTGGGGCTCCATGACAGACTCATAATCCCACCTCTCTGACCTCATTTCTTAGTTTACACAAACATTACAGATAGTTCAGTTTGTCTGCACACTACATGATTAACTTTTCCCCACATAATGGGAGTGCACTTCACATTTCTTCAGACATCTCAGTGACAACACAACATTAACTTGTGTATGTGCAGTTAATGGTGGCTTTCCATTCACACGTAGAATAGCTACACTTTCTGCCTGCATGTTTCTCTGTGTACACGGAAATAAGATAATGAAAGAAGAAAAACCTGCAGAGTGAAGTCTTCTTAATGGAGCCCTTTGTGTATGTAAATCTGCCTTCCTTGGTGTTTCTAAGCTGAGCACAAAATGATAGCTATTTTCTAGTGGTAGCTAAGAAAGACAGAAGCATAGGACTGGGCATAGTTATGAAAGTGCTAGGATATTTTTGCCATGTAATGCATAGAAGTGAAGGCAGAAATTAGTTTTAGGCACACTTCCTCTTTCCCCTCCCAGTCAGCAACATAAGGTTTGATGAGATAGTCAAATACAGCATATTTAAGTCAATAAAGCTCTGCGTTCTCCTGTAAAGTCTGTGAAGTATCCCCAAACTGCTGCTGAGTGTCTTGGCCGGGAAGACAAACCATAACTGAAAGAGACTGGGCAGGTAAAGATCTGGGGGATGAAATTCATTTTGAGTACAAAGCTGTTCTAGGGTCAAATGAAGAATTAGTTTAGAAGCTGGACATTAGTTTAGAAGTAACATCTTGGCTAACATCTTCCCCAAGCTGTCCCTGAAGACAGCATTTTCCAGCAAAAATTAATATCCTATATAATTTTGAACTCTCCTTAAAATCCTACATGCTTTTCTCCCTCTATGGACACAGGTAAACACCGAGATAGTTGATCTACAAAAGGAACAGACTTCCTATTGAGGGACTTTACAGCTTCCTATTAATTTTGTATTGAAAAATGGTGAAAGACTTTGCTAACTCACAGACTTTATTTTAGTGCTTTCTGGAGCTTGTATGAAGCCATGGAAGGATTGTATTGAAAGAAGGTATTGTGGTTGGGTCACGACAGTAAAAGTCAGGAGATCTTTGATTTATTAAACCTCCAAGAGTCTTCATGTAAGAATGAGAACTGTAAGGGATACATGCCCTCCAGACTAACATCAGGTGCCACCATTCACGACCATCTGTGAAGATTTAAGTGCCAATGCCTTACTTTATTCTTTCTTTTGGAAAGAAAAGTATATCTTTGCTGTACTTAAGACTTTCTTATTCAAAAAGGAGTTTTTAGTTAACATGGCTCACCACAGTTGGTTTGGATCCTGGCATGTGAGAGGACAGTATCTTTCTGAACTTCAGCTCCATTGGCTAAATATCCCTGCTTATCTCTGTACCAGCCTTAAATTAGAAAGAGCGCTAGCTGCTAAAGTTGGTCCATAGAGGGCAGAAACTAATAGTGAATAATATCCTGAGGGATGCTTTGTCTCTTTTGTAAGTGCAGATATGGAATAAGTCTTGTTTTTTGTTACAATAGAACACCTATTCTACATTTCATCTCTAGGGAAGAAAAGGAGACCTGCTAAAAAAAAAAAAACAAATTCGTTGCTACAACATATGAAGTGAGATACCAGCAAAAGAATACATTTTTGTGCATTACGAATCATTTAAAACTGGCAGTAACTAATATTTCAAAGCCACAGTGGTTTCAGAATCTAAACTGAATTGGGAAAGAACAGGTCTATTTACATTCAGGCTGGGATTACTCAAAATGAATGATAATAGGATTGTTGCATTTTAAATCCACTTTAGAAAACATCCTCTTTCTAAAATAAAATGTATTTCTGAGTCCAGTCCCTGAACCAGTAAGGCCTTGAGTATAATTTTCAGTCTGGCAAAAATTACAGTAATGTGGTATGAGTAAAACACATGCATACATTTTTTTTTAAACCCAGACAGGTCATAGCTCAAATTACAATTGGGCACTGACGCTCTGAGTTTAGCTGCTATATCTGAGCTGTATGATGCTGAAGAAGTTAGAGTGAGGAGAGCTAAGGCAGAAATTATTATTGCATTGCCAGTGCTCAGAATTTTTGTAATTGTGAAGTATAAGAAGAGAGTTATGGATGAACTGCTACTTTGGAAAGAAACTCCGACTGAGGGCTCAAAGAGTAGACCTGGCCTATGTCCCACTGAAATGAATAGTGTTAGTCATGGAAGCGTGCCCTGCGGATCCCATTCATCATGATGAACAAATGTGTTTTATGCTGCTATAAATTATGATATACTGTGTAGAATCATGCTCCCAAAAAAGGGAGCATTTTTAAGGAGGCATACTAGAAACAATAATCAAAGACAGGAGTTTAGGATGATTTAAAGCTGGGAGAAGAAAGCTGTCACTGTGTGTTTCTGACAGACACAGGAAACTTCTCCTTACCTTCTACCCCTGTAAAATCTGAACCGCCAGATTTATTTGTGCTTTCTCCCATCCATAATCTTCCTAAATCTTGTCCACTCTGCAGAAAAATCTATTTTTTTCGCATGCCAAATGGTCTCTGCCTTGAATGATTTCCCCTTTAATCTTTTGAAAGCAAAAGGGCAGAAATACCTGCTCTGATGGATACTACTCAATTTAAAAGCACCACTCACTAAGACTGCATTTTTATTACTCTGATCAGAAGTTCAGTACAGATAAGGTTAACCGGAGAAACAGCCATGCAACTAAACAGAAGATATGAGTTCCTTTTTATTTTGTCAACAAATGTCAGAGTTTAAGAGATAAATGGCTAAATACTAATTAAGCAAACAGGCTAGAAACAGACTCAGATGTATCCTTTAAAGGTGAATTACAAAGGAAGAATACATATTTATACTGTATAATTTACTGCTCTATTAGGATAAGAGATTTTTCTGCTTCTTTTTATGACATTTTTATTATTATTTTAATTATGTGAGGCCATAAAAATCACTTTGTGTTATGTATATATGGCAACCAACAAAGTCCAACCGAAAAGCTCATAAGCTTAGTACCTGAGATCACGTTAACTGATCCTTGTGGAAACAGGTTTCCTTTTAATTATACAAATATAATTAAACCACTAAAATTATATTGATACTACTTCCTTTTCTGTCACCTCTTGATCCAAAAGACAAGGAACTCTTTGGGGAGACTATCTCAACCTCCTTTCAAAGGTAAAACCTCAACTCAGAAAAAGTATTTTGTACCAGAATAAATACCCAGATGGGGAAATTAATTGCTGAGCACTATTCTCAGTGTAATTTCAAATTTTACTGTGCATCTGCACAGCTTCCCTGTGTAGACTAGCTACCAGGGTATGTTTTGGTGGTCCTATTAATTATTGACTAGCTGCTCGTGGTCACAGTAGAAGAAACGTGTCTAGAGGAAAGAAATATTGCTTCATCTAAATTGCATTAGGTGAAAGAAAAAAAAAAATCCAAGGTCCACTGCAGATAAGAGGAGTGAGAAGACTTAGTTTAGAAAGAACTTTGATCCTGATGTGGCACGTCACAAGACTGAAATATCTGTTTGCTGCTGTCCCAGTTCAGAGAGCTGTTCCATTTCTCGTTAGGCCATTGGCATTTCTAAAATAAGGATCCCGCCAGGACTGGGGGCAGCTGAGAAATTGCCCCTCTGTGTATGAGTCTCAGGAACATGTCTGCAAAACAGCAAGACATCCTAGAAGAGCTATGGGCCACCTAACAGGCTTCTAATGTGCTAAGTAATTGTCCTGATATCCACTCCAAAGGCACAGTTCATTTAGGCCAATTAATCAAGTGAAAATACTACAGTTGGAACACTGGAGACAGAAAAGGGAATTAGGTGGGTGCACATTTTTCTGTTTTTGCTATAAATCAGCAATCAGCGCTAGATCTGCCCTGCCATTTGCTTATGCTGTTTCTCTGACTTCAGTGTCATTACAGAAGGAGATTGTCATCTATTGTCTAGAGAACCCACTTCTGAATACACTTCGGCACAACATCATGAATGAAAACCTAGCTTAACAGAGTACAAAGTGACAGGAAGCTGAAGAAGGACTGGACAGATCCTAATGAGTCCTATCAATACCAAAGAAAGATTTCCAGTAAAGAAAGGGAAGTCTGATACGTTGATTCTTCTCTGAGATGGGTAAGTGTGGGGAAGAATGCCTCTATCCATGCATGTCTGAGTGTAATTCAACAATGGTGCTACCTTGCTGAGCAGTGAGATGTATTTCCTGAGACTTTCCTGAGCCTAGGAAGGGCTTGGTACTTGTGATATAATGGGCACGGCAGTCCTGCTTCAAGAGAGAAAACAACTACGTGGGCATTTACTGTGGTGTCCCAGTGGATGGTGCAATGACCACTTGGATTCACAAGGTTAATTTCCTGTGTTCATTGACCCATGAGACCTTAGAGAAGCTGGAAATGGCCTGCTTATAGGCTTGTGTTTGGTGAAGAAACAGCCAAGACATGCATTGCGTCTTCTAATGTGACTCTCTTGTGATAGAGGTAAGGTCTGAGTCACTCAGTATCAGCTAAAGTCCTGCCCTGGCTTAATACTCACCACTGCCATGGAATACACATCGTACAGACATCCTTGTACTTGGCAAGGAAGTGTCTCTTTACAGCTAATCTGCATAATCAGACCAGGAGGGCTTGACCTAAACAAAACTGCCACTGTCCAGAGAAGGGTACGCAAGCCAGATCATGAGCTCTTTTGGCAATGGACTCCGGAGAAATGAATTCAAGCTATCCATCTGTGTGGATACAGAACTTGTTTAAACTGCCCTTGTCCTACGCAGTTCTTTGCCCAAGAAAGCAATTACCATTAAAACTAAGCCACTACCAGACCCCAGATTCCACTCAACCGAAATCTTTATATACAGTTGGGAAGATGCTTTGTGCAATGTGATGTGTAGAAAATGGTTTCTTCTTTTTGATATCAGTTCTGTCTAGTAATGCACAAGAAATGTGGTGGTGTGGAGGATTTTTAGTTTCATTTTTTCCTGAATCTGTAATAGTTCTCAGCTTCAACAGCAGATGCTATTACCTACTTATCATTCAGAAATAACCCACTGTTTTGAATAACAAATTATCTCAAATCATGGGTCAATCAAAATGTAAGTCAGTAGCATGTATGGAGAAATGTAAGGATAATAGCCTTCAGGATGTTTATAGAAATCTGTAAATGTTTGAATTATCTGTACTAGTACAATATAGTAGCATCCAAGCTTTTAACAAACACGTCTCTAGGCCAAAGAATTACTAATCTAAATAGACGAGACAGAGCTGTGAAGAACAGAAAATGTTACCCTTAATTTACAAACAAATAAATGAGGCACAGAAAGGGGAGTCCAAGGTAAACTTTGTCCTACTTTAGAATACAACTTTCATGTCTGATGTGGTAAGACAGTACCTTCTGCATTTGCCTGTCTTATATCTCAGAACAAATATCAAATGTCAATATAGTTCTTTAAAGTCAGTCTACAGAGACACTCTGGAGATCTTACTCCACTCATTGCAGATGCTGCTTTGCTGCTGGCCTGATTTTCTCCACTCTTTCAAAACAGATTACTGATAACTCTTGTGATTTATACCAAGCATTGGCATTCTTAAAAACTCAACCGCTAGAGTAAAATGATCTCAGATGAGTCTCATCTCAGAGAAAGGGGAGCAAAACTGTATTTTATTTCTAGAGAAAAGGTTGAGAACAAGACCTCTAATTATTTCTATACCAAAAGCAAGAGGACTACCCTGGAGCATGTTATTTTTAAGGCCACAAGCTTTTTAAAGATATGCTTAGTATTTTATATTCACCCTCACACTTCAAATGTGTAGGGCTGGTAGTCGTACACACCAGCCCTGATCCTGGGTGTACCCTGATGAGTTTTTACATTCACATATGACCTTGGTTGTGGTTTCTTTAACTTCTGAGAAACTGGGAATTGTTTCTAATTTTTGCTCTACCCTATTGTCAAAAAAAAAAAAAAAAAAGTGTGTGGGAGGAAGAAGAAACCCCGTCAAAAAAAAAAGTCAATTAAAAAAATTGTTATAACAAATTTCTGAGGATTTGTCTTCTAACCAAGACAGAGTCCTTTCTGGGTATGCAGTGCTCTCTACTGGGTGATACATGCTATTGCTGTCACCTAGCTCAAAATGGAAATATCCTCTCCTATAGAAACTGAGGTAGCCACTGTCTTCCAAATATATCACTTGGCTAATAATTCTGAAAAGATGGTGATCTCTGTGTTGTCAAGCTTCAAGTTGCCACCTGTTTGACAACTACAGAAATTGCCTGCAAACAAGAGAAATACAGCAAAAATACAGCATTCTGTTATTAGCAAATGTTTGCTATTCTCCTTCATCAGATGTGCTTGGTGTCAACTGCCAAGAGACTAGAAAGCAACAGATCCTGGAGTGTATTCCTGGCTCCTGCAAGCGTTTACTGATTACTGTGTGTTACTGAGTAATGCTTAATTTTTCAATAGTTGCAATGATTATAATACAGGCTTTCCTCAAAAGGTATTGTGAGACTAAATTGAGAGCAAAGGGATTGCCATACAGATGAGATGAAGGGATAGATAGTCCAGTCTCTTACGCAGTCTGAAGACATGAGAGAAAGGGAGGCCTGCGAGGGAGCATGAGAGGGTCCAGTCAACTCCTATCCTGGTGGCTTTTCAGTAACTACAAAGGTGTTGACATTAACATTGCTACAAGACCCTTTGGTTCCTCTGCACCACTACCTATCTTTGACTATAACCCAAGGCAGTGAATTTCTGGATGGGGAAGGTGGGGGTGTCAGCTCTAAGGTTCCCTAAGCAAGCGTATCTGCTGACCTCCGCATAGTCCTGGAAGAAGGTCCTGGCGGTCACTGGTGGCCTCTCCGTGTTTATTCATGAAGGCAGAGGCCCTGAGGTCAGAGTGGAGGAAGTAGCTCTTTAACAGATAATAAAATCACCAAGGTGTGTTTACACTGGGATTTGCAGTTTGCCCTGGCTTAGGAGGTGAGAGTCTTGCAGCAGCTCCCCTCTGCACTGTAACAGCCAAATGCATCCCACTGCAAATAGGATTTGTCAGCTCTAGAGAGAGAAAAACAAACTATGTGGGATTTTCTGACCCGTTAGTGTCCTGGCTTCTTGTAGGTGGCTTGTGTACATTTGTAAATGGCAGCGTATGGTATGAAAGGGGTTCTGCCAAGGTTAGGAGACAAACTTCTTGCTTGTTTTCTTTCCCCTGCTTTAACTTGGAAAGCACCAACACATGAAACACAAGCAGTCCCAGAAAACAAAATAACTGCGAGTCTTCAATTCTTTCTTTTCCTGACTATGCACCTCTGTCAGCTTCTTCAGGACACCTCTCTTGCAGAAACACTCCTTCTTAGACTACAGCTGAGCTGGGCCACATGTGAACTGCTGCCCTCTGAGAAGAGGAGGAAGGAAATCATACATTATGTACAGCTTTCTAGGCCTCTCTTGATGAACTTTGTGTATGAATCATCAGAGTATGACAGCAGCCTGATGGGGACTAGAGACTGGCATCTGTCAAAACTTGGTTTCCTCTTTCTGAAGTTGCTCATCGACATCTGTAAGCAATATTTTTATGGGCCTGCAAACAATTATGCTTTTGTTTGGTGGAGCTATATTGGAAGAACCCTTTTGCTGGAAAGTGTCAGGACAGTCCAATTAAAGCTGCTTACTTTCATCACTTCTGGGAAAGAACTGTCTGGGTCCTGGCTTAAGGAAGAGTGGAAAAACTGTCCTTCCAGCAAGTTTTGAGGAATTGCTTTCTGAAATTGTCCCAAACACAATGAATCCATCAGTCATCACTTTATAGCTTTCCAGCTTCATAAAGACTTTGTTCCTCAGTCAAATACAGAGGAAATTTTGTTAAAGAATTGAGGTTTTGCTGCAGCTTTCACATGTCTTATTGTTCTGTGTTGTTCACCGCCCCCAGTCTCAGCCTTGCAAATAAAATATCTTTCCCTGCTATAAAGTTAGCAGTTCCTTTTCCAGAGAGTCAGCTGTTGGAAAGATGGATTTAAGAGTGGGACACAGGTAACTTTGGATTCCACTTCCATCTCTGCAATCATCTTCCTGTTTTATGTGGCTGTAACTTCTTGTTGCCTCAGTTCCTAATCCTATCTCATTATCTTATATATGAACTGTTAATTACATGCATTCAAACATCTGAAAAGTGACATGAAGGTACATTAAACATCATTAAATAAAAACAAGATGTGTTCTTTATTGTCTTCTTTTGGGACCCATGGAGTCATGCTTGTAAAGCTTATTTTATTCTTCTTCTTTCTGAAGTTATGAAGAATTTGCTTGTTTTTTGTTATTAAAGTGAAAGCTGAGGTTTATGTAAAACCACATGACTCCAGGAAATGGGGCTTTTAAGTGAAAATACCATAAGACTAACTGTAAGATTATGAGATCAGGCAATATTTTACAGATGTGTGTGAAGGGCTGAGTTACTAAGGCAACAAGGGCCAGATCTGTAGATCAAGAATATATCTTATATTTAGACACCATCCATCTTTGTATCATTAGGGTAGGTTTCCAGGAGCAGCTCTAGGAATAATGTTTTTGCTGCTCTTTAAAGGATACCATGACTTGGATCTTGATATCAAACCCTTTCCAGGGATGAGCAACTGGAATTCAGCCAGGAAAGTGGCTGTCGGGGGGAGAAGGGTATGTTTGCTTTCATCAAAAAAGGTGAATTTTTTTTTTAGTGGTCAGTAATGTCACCACCTCTTTCACATCTTATCTGAAGGAAAACAGGCACTTTTCTGATCTGATCTAATGCTGGAATGCCTGCGCTGAACGTAGCTGTGATCAGAATTGGGTAGAGGACCTCTCTCTACCAGCATAGCATGGCAAAAAACCAAAGAGAAATCACCATCTTTTTGTTCAGAATCATCGTCTCTCCGCGGTACTTGTATTCCTTAGAGGTACTGCACTCCAGTACAGCCCTAAGCAGCCTATCTTTGCTGTTCATACAAGATACCTTGGCCAGGCTTTTAACTCCCAGAGGCCTAAAATGGAAGAATTACCCACATGAATCATTAGGACTATATTTTCAAATGCATTTTTTTCTAATATGGAAAGTGTAGTATGGATGTGTACAGCTGTTTACCAGACCTACAGACATGGGGCTACTATGGTACAGCTCTCATAAGGAAGTAATAATAGGAAACACCAGCAGTATAAGTTGGCCAATGTAAAATAGAGGTGGTATGAATACAGAGTCACTTGGACTACCTGTGCCAATGATGTTGTGTTCTGTTCAATAATTATCTCACTTACACATGGGAACCAAGGGCTTCTTCCTCAGGCTCAGGACAAAGCAACGTCAGGCTTGCAACATCACACCCATCATTTATCTCTTAGAAGTCTCCTTAAGGACATGTATTTAGGAAGGGTTATAACTGGGTGGTGCTTATGGTCAGGAAAGACATTCCAGGAACAGCAGGTATGAAATCAGATAACTAGCCCACATGTAATCAAAGGACTATTTTTAGGCAGAGGCCTAAACCGGAAGTTTAATACTGGGTCTTTTAGGGCTTGTTACTATTTTTAAGATGAAGACAGTTAAGTGAGCTCTGCATGAGTTTATGCAGGCACATGAAATACCTGAGGGTGCTGAAGTGACCTTTTCAGTGGAGCGTAAAGGCTAAAATTAGCGAGGGCATGGGAGAACATTTAGGAAAATGTATTACAGTGGTATTTACAGAGGGAGGGGCCTTCGAAGACTTGCATGACATGCACTGAAAGTCAGGGCAAATGGTGCCTGAGCACTGATTATGCCTTTGATATTCCCAGCTTTTATCTACTTCTGTATGTAGAATGACTATAATAGCCTCATTAAAAAGGCATCTGAGCACCACCCACTTCTGCATCATGGTATCTTTGGGAGACAAGGAAGTTCTAGAGTATGTTTGAAGCATAGAGAAGTTGAGGAACTTGCCCAAAGACACACATGAAAGTTGTGTCAAATCAGAGATGTAAATATAGATTTCCTATGTCACTGACTACTACTTTTGTTACAGAGGTGCGTACTCCTTCCTCCCCGGCAAAAAAAGAGGTTGGCTGCTAGTAACAACAAGCCAGAGTTTTAATAATGCCTTACTTTTTTAGCAAATGTGCTGATTACTTAGTAACTCTTAATTTATTAATTGAGGAACAGAACTAATGGGACCTGTTAGGGTACCTAATCTATTGGTAAAATTTTAAGCTCTGTGTAAGATAATGCTCCTCTGCTTTCCTTAGCCTTTTAATTGAGAACTAACATTGATCACCCCACATTTTTTAGTTAGAACTTTTGTTTCTGTTCTTCTGTTCAGTACTCACTTCTTGGATCAGAAAGACGTGATGTGGCTGCCAGAGGTCAATTTCTTTAAATAAAAATGTAATCCAGATTAGCACAGGATTAGACAGTACAAAATCTCCTGATGGCTAAGCAGAGTCAGTGGCAAAACTGACCTAAAGTTTAGTTTGCAATAAAATACCTGGCCTCTTCTTTGCTGATGGGTTATTTTGCTTTTAACTAGCTAGTGACCCCAGGCCAGCTAAAAGGATGTGCTGAATGTACCCACAGGATTCTAGCAGCCAAGACTGAGTTACAGTTCAATGCCTGCTTTGCAAATCAGCTCAAGAGTACAGATGCGCCCTGAGGTGCTGAGCCATACAAAAAAAATCTTTTTCTTGGGTGCCAAAAGGGTAGCTGAGCATGCTGGGAAATCTAACCCTATAAAGCTGGCATCACTATTTTCGTCACTACTGTTTGTATTCAGCATACTTTCTGGTCACAATGGCCAACTTCTGGTATTGTGGCAAAAGATCAGATCTTATCTGTGTTTGAGGAAATCGTAAGGGAATTCTCAGTACGTACAGAAGGCCAAGTCCAGAGTTATGCTGAGCCAGTGACTTCCATAGGAGCCAAATCTCCCTCAGGATTTGCCTCAACACATATGTAAAGCTCCCTGATTTTAGGGTCTCCTTATTGGGACGTTTTGTTCTCACAAAGTGCCTCTCCTATGGCTTATTTGTTTTTCCCTATTTATTTATACCTCCTCTGAAATCATTCCTAGCAGCAGGAGCTATTTTAACTGTCCCTGTGCTTTTGATAGAAGAGGTAGGAATGTTTGACTTATACTGAGACTCAGCAGAAGCACCAGGTCAAGGAAGGTGTTCAGGGCTTTACATTACGATGGATTAAGGGCTTGTAGTCTGTCTCCTGGGAGAAACCCCCTAGTGCGGTGCCAGCATAGTTACTACCTCAGCTCACAAGCTGTTTTGGCTCAATCACCCTGTCCTTGCCTATGTGTGATATCACCTCCTTTACTGTGGACTCTTCTGAGTGCAACGGGCTGGAGCCTGGACTCCTAGTCCTGGGCGAACCCAGCTACAGCGCAGAAAGTGGGGCCTCGTGCAATGTGTCTTCCCCACCACGGACACAGAGAGCGTGTTACACTCCGGGATCCTAATGGAGGGTGCCATAGGCCCCTATTGCTGGAGAAGGGAGGGATGCTGAAAAGGACTGGAGGCTCTGTCCTCAAGATAAGCACCCATTGTGGCAGCTGAATGACATATCTGCCTGCTAGAAACAGACTTCAGACAAACCCATTGAGTATTGAGTGAGCTTACAGCTGGCCGCCAGCCTGAAATAACTTCAAAGCTCTGAGCTGGGCCCAACATCCTCTTCCTCTGAGCTCTCACAACACCTGTGCTTAGGCAATAGCCCTCATCAAGAGCCGAAGGCAAGGCTGTGCCAGGAACATCAAGGTCAACTTCTACTGGCAACGGTGCCTTTGAGAAAAGTGGGATATCACTTATGTAGGACATTAACAATGATTTTAGAATAACTGTGTTTCAAAAAAAGATAATAAAATAACTTCAAAAAATAGGAAACAAAGAAGGGAAAGTTCTGAAATCAGAGTGCTCCAAAACAGAATATGCTGCAGCATGGGACTGCAGTGGTAAGACTCAAACCACTCAGACAGACACCTCAAGAAATATTTCATCGGGACATGAAAGTGACTAACCCTTAAGAAATGGTTACAGCATATTGTGGATGGTCTAAGGTCACACCTCAGAGTATGTTACCTTCACCTTTTGGTTATCAGTGGGGATCAGATAGGGTAAGGCAGTATTCCCTTCAGCATGATTGGTGCAAATCACCTGGTATGCATCTTATTTCATCATGTCCACAACAGGAAAAACTATCCTCTCCCAAGCAGTGCTGAGAAGAAAGTAAGCTTGACAATGATTATACAATAAGTTGCTAAGTCCACTGTTGATTTACAGGCTGGATGTTTTCCTTATATTTTCTCCATCTTAATCTCCCTGGAGTCTCCTGCTCTGAGGTTGTTAGATATATATAAAACACTGTATGTGTTTTTACACATATACTGCAAATGTTTTTGGGCAAGACTCATTTGCTTATTCTGGATCTGTCGCTATCTATATTCCCTAGTGACTCGAACAGTGGGAAGGCAGTCCCCGACTGAGGCTCCTAGAGCAAAAACATGAATGCATAGCATAATGAAGAAAAGAATATTTAGGTTCAGGAATAATAGGTCCTCAGCAGATGCCAGAGGCTTGTTTATGTGGAGGGGTTGGATGTGGGGAGAGCAGCTTGCATTTGCCTACACTGTAAGCATTCTTTGTGTATGAAACAGTACTTGGACACCAGTGGCAAGAGGACAGGAAGCAGAAGTCTGACTCTCCTCTTGTTTATGCTGCTGTTACTCCTGTTTTTGCAAGAGGGCTGCTCTTGATTTGTACATATTTAAAGAAAGTAGGTCCTTTATCTGTATCTTGCACGTGGCTCAGTTAAAGCGCAGAGAGGAATCTCTGGGTTATATTTTATAAAATTCATGGATGGAAGGGTAGAGGGACCACATAATATAAGGGGGTGAAATCCACCCTCACCCTGCAGCCACATGTGTACATCTTCATGGAAACTCTCCCTGGCTGCATAACTCCCTTTCCTGAAGAAGGCAGCCTCAGACACCCGGAACACCAGCGTGTTAAGTTAATCTAATGAAAATAACTGTCTCCCAGCAGGATTACATTTTTTCATTTCCTGCAATTGTCTGCAGTTCCTGTTTGGGGAGCACGCACAACCACACAACGCTGCCCTGCGACCAGCCACACCAGTGACTCACTTCCTGCCCCAGCAGTGACAC